GGAGAACGCAACGAGTCGCTATATAAAGCAGCCGCAGCGCCGCTACCTGCATATAAACCGTGTCGCGGACACCGCCATGTTGAAATGACGCTATGCATTACGGGGCTCCCAGGGGCAGATAAGAGTTGGTCTCTCTCCGTTAATAATTATGAATTTAACAACGATTACTGCCTGATGACATGTTCCCACATCTGCAAAGCTCACAGGAAGGACACAAACCGAGGACGATATTTTCCTGATATAGGGTTTATTACTCAAGTAAGGGTAAAAAAGTATCTGATTAGAAGGCTACTTGAGTACTGAGTATCATCTGATCTAATATTTTTTAAATGATGACATCAAACAGACATAAAATAAAAAGTTATGGGCAAATATTGGTATTTTAAAGACTAAAGGGGAAAAATGTAAACAAATAAACAGCATAATTAAAAAAACACATTTTAGGCAAAATTTAGACACAAACTGAGGACAAAGTTTCCTGACATACAGGGTTTGTTTAATTGTGTGAAAATTTAGCACGTTTAAAAAAATACCTCGATAATACCGAAAACCGTGGTCATTTTGGTCACAATAACCGTGAGGTTAAATTTTCACACCGTGACAACCCTACTCACTAGGGATGAAGATGACCTGCAGTTTCTCTTGCAGGTCGTTTCTGATCATCGTCGGCTACATCCAAGCACAAGGAAGACTGAACTATAACTGGTGACAAATGACAATGATCACTGAACTCGTGTACTTGCTGTACTGTGACTGTGACTATTTGATCATCAAACTGTGGCTATTTTCTAATAAATGAAACACTATTAAATTGTCTATCTTTGTTCTATGTTGTTGAGCAAAATCATTTCGTCTAATCGGTTAATAAAATGTGTATAGCGTCACCAGTTTTGCTATATCAACCAAATGCAGTTGGGCGACCTGTAAATATTACATGATCTTGAAATAATTTGACACACGATAATCTTGGACCAAATGGAACAGATCTGAAGGGTGAGAGTAAGGAAATTATGAATTTTTTTTAAATCATGGTACCTAAGTGACACCCTATTGCACATTCTTGACTCAAAGCACCTGAACAGGTAGTGAAGCCAGAGCTGGGCAGGCATACTAAATTGTTATATGGTTATGTAGCCTGACCGGGGGTAGTTGATGGCAGGGTATCTGCAGGTGTAAGGGAGCCAAATTTAAGACTTTTTAAGACCTTTTTTAAGGCCACTTAGACCAAATTTAAGCTATTTTTATAATTAAATGTAAGCTTTATTTTCCAGCTATTGCCTGGAACCGGTGCTAACCGCGTCGCAAACATGGGATTAGCCATCCAGTTACCATCGAACTTGCACTTCCCCATGGCGCAAGCTCCCACTAGTTTAACCAGCTAATGTGCTCATCTAAAAGTAGTCCCATTTCACAAGCAACTGAATGTGTACGGTTCTGCTTACGCCAACATCATACACAAAAAATGCTGAAGACTAACTAGAAATTCATGAAAATTTCATAGAAATAAAAGAATCTTGTTTATTGGGTCTTTGGTAATTTAAGACCTTTGGAAACTGTATTTAAGGATTATTTGTCATTTTTAAGGATTTTTAAGGCCTTAAATTTGGAAAAGCTAATTTAAGACTTTTTAAGGACCCGCGGATACCCTGTGATGGGGTTTGCAGAGCAATATCAGAAAACAATAGATCACCTAGCCCTACCTGGTGGTATTTCAGTCCTAGCTTCATCACTACTCATTCAGCTATATAAGAATCAGACCTTTAAGGGGATTGTTTTCACCTCAAGACTAACTTTTGTTGACATTCAGTTGTCCGCAGCAGTCAGACTCATTTTAAATCAGGAAACAAGATATCAGGTTGAAGCCTCATAGTAGCTCCACACTATTCGCCCCCAACTTCCCTCTGAACGCCGTCCTCAGGTCCAACACTCAAACCCAAAACCCCACAAAGCAAACAAGCTTCTATGAACCTTGTGACCCCATAATTTATTATCTGTCTCCAGCTCATTGTTTAGCGGGACAATTCCAAAGTCAGGGTCAGCCTCTTGTCAAAAGCCTTTTACGTCCACGTTTAGATGATGTTTGCCTGAGACGCTCAGCTGGACGTCTTCGTTTACACCACTGTCTCCTGGATAAGCCAACATCTGAGAGTGTTGCTGGTACCGGCTCGTCATTCTCTGAAGTAGGTCCTTCCCCACCTTTCCCTTAACAAATATACACACACCTTTGATTTGCTCCATGTTGAAAATCAGCTCCTCCACCTAAATACTGCCACCGCTTTGCTTTGTCCGTCTTTGGCTTGAGCCATTTCCCCTTTCTAGCCGTTTCACGTTGTCGTGAACCACCTTGATTTTAAAAAGTCCTCTCTGACATCCAGTCAGGGTCTCTAGAGTGTGAGAAGCACCTCCCACAACAGCGGTGCTTCCTTCCTTTCCAACTTGTTTAGGAGACGACAACACATCTCTAAAACAGGTGCAGAGACTCAGACCCATAGGCACCCAAGCAAAAAACATGCTTGTTTGTTTAGAACTATACCATATTGCATAGCGACGTTATGTCACAGTCTATTTTTAGCTACTGTAAAATACACATTAGGTTTTTTCTGGAGTTGTTTTAGTCTTCACTCTGTAGAAGCGACATGTTTTTATTTAGCAGAGTAGCAGCAGTCCCATTTAGTGTGGAAACATTGAAATATTCCACACTGGTGGCTTTAACAAATGTAGGATATGAAGAAATATGCTTTTTTTTAAACTTTCTTAGCTTATCAGATGACTGTTTATTGGTATTTGATAACTGGCCTGCACTTGAGATAGCCCCTGCTAGGGTACAACGGTACATGAAACAGTTTGTTGCTTTGTTAGCCAATCAGAGGAGAGATGTCCAATTATCAGAAAATAAGACTGCCGTCTGCTGCTCCCCTCTCCTCTGGCTTACTTCTATTTCCTGAAACAGGAGCGCCAGAGCTTTTCTCCCACAGAGATCCACTCACGAGACATTCATTTAAACTATACTACTGCAGATTTGTTGAAAAAGCAAGTGAACTTGGTCTTTAAAGACTGACGCCAGAGTGACTTGTTTTATATGGATAGACTAATATGAAAAATGATATTGTGATAAGTCTTTTTTTTATTTATCGTTATCAAAATTTCTGACTCTTATCGAGATCATTTTTCCCGTGTCAATAAATTTGACAATAAAAATTTGAAAGATGTGTGTAGATTGTTAACATTCACGTCCCTTTAAAGGTTGGTTTACGCTTGACGCAACCCGCGAGGTTCGCACGGCTCCGTGCGGCAAAATTGCGTCATGTTAACAACCACGCCCCTCCACCGCTCGGCCCAAACTTTCCGCACCGCGCACTTAGGAAATTTTCTAACCACGCGGACAGTTGAACACGGAAAAACATGGCGGACTGGCAAGAACTAGTATGGCAGAGGTTCGTAAATACAGACATTTGTATGATTCAGCTCTCAAAGATCACCGTGATCAACATGTTGTTAATAATTCTTGGAGAGAAATAGCTCGCACTGTCGGAAAAGACGAGAACGCTGTTAAAAAATGCTGGAATGCCATGTTGTAAACAACAGTAATTTTTACTTCTACTGTGGTGTAGTGTTGGATGCATGTAGAGCTCCATGCTGCCCCCTACAGTTTGGGAGAATATTGGCTCACCGCAGAGACGAGCCGCATGAACCATAAACGCTGCGAGTTGTGAAGCGCGTTCCATCCGCGAGCCGCATCACCGCGCGGAAAGTAAATGTGTCAAGCATAAACCAAGCCTAACTCATTCACTGCCAGCCGTTTCCTGATCGCTAAAGGCCTTCGCTGCCAGCGTTTCTTGCCGTTTTTTAAGAGTCGCGGAACGTTACGCGCTAGGATGATGTCGATGCCAAAACGACCAAAACAAAGCAGAGACTCACCTCTTACATCAGGAAGAATCTGCATGTTTCGAGCGTTATCCGTTCTTTCATAATCCGTGTCGAATTGTGATCGGCAGGCGCTTTTCCGGTTCGCGCCTCACTTTTTTCTACAGGAACGGCCCAAAACGATCTAACACATGGACTTTCTGCTTCCTGATCATATGACGTGTGACGTATGCGGATGAAGATCGGCTTCAGAGCTGAGATGTTTGTTCTCTCGGCGCGGGGGCTCATTCTGATGCCCACGTCGTCAATGGCAGTGAATGAGTTAAGAAGCTGTACCACCTTGAGTCACGTGACAGCCCCATCTAGTGGACAACTTTTGTTTCTGCGTACACTGGTAGTTATAGCCATTTATCAATATCGAGGTGAAATCCTCAATATATCGTGTTAGACTTTATGCCACATCACCCAGCCCTTTGATCAAGAGCAGATTGTTGTATTTGATAGTAAAATATGTTTTAGATATGTATTAATGTGTGTGTGTGTGTGTGGGGGGGGGGGGGTCCTCCTATTGCAGCTCTACTGAAAAACTCTCCCGACAACAAAACAAAGGCCGACACGGCCCTACTTCTTTGTGTTGACGGCCCTGAAACAAAGCAGTTCAACTTTGATGTGGCGTGGTTTTCTCCCTCTGCGGAGGATCACACTGCAGCTCTGTGTCTTTTTAACCACAATTATGCAAGCGTGGGGGCTACATTTTATGCTAAATTACTTTGAAACCACTTGATCCTCGATGCCCACCAAAGCAGTTAGTTACAAAACTTCAGGCGGCGCATTCAGGGACATGCACACTTCAAAGGTAGGAAACTCTTACCTGGAGAATTATTTAACAGTTGGCTTGAAAAGGAATGTGCCCTTCATTAAAAAGCAAAGCCAAAAGTCCTTTAGACGCTGCAGCACTTCAAAACTAAGGGGAGGGCTTTTCTATTAACTCAATGGAAAAAGGCTGCGGGACTGAAAGGTGGATATCTGCATGGGTTTGTTCCTCTCTGTCTTTGCAGCAAAAAATGGCCACAGATCCATTAGCCCGATTTGTCACAGCAGGAGCGCCTCAAAGATCTCTTATCGAGTGAACGTACCTCTCGAGTGGCGAGCCTGTCGCTCATCTCCTCCGCGTGTGCGATGTCCCCCTCAGCTATGGCCTGCTCTATGCTCTTTTCTAGGCCGGACTGCGAGAGACGGAGGAGAAAAAAATGAGATATTCGTTTTTCAAGGAAGCAGGAGGAAGAAAAAAAATCAAAGAGTAACTTTAAAAGTCCCTGGGGTCTTATTTTTAATATAACATCCATTTACCACAAATATGTAGATTTTGCTTCACAAATGAAAATATCTTTTATTGGATATTAGCGAGGAAATCTCAGGAATGCTACAGGAGATCACTGAATATCACCGTAATTCTTTAATTGCACATTTCCGTTGCAAGCCCAGGAAAGAAGGAGGGGTGCCGACTAGTTCCTGGTTACTGATGCAGGAAAAGACAACAAACACAGATTTTCTTACTTTTTAATTTTTCATTAAATGACTCAAAAACAGGCTTTGGTTGGTACCTTTATTTAAAATCTCCTAAAGCACAGAGGATCTTTTTCTTTGGGTGAGGGTAGGGTGGGTTAGGGGCCATAGCTCCTTTGATAAAACACCTGAATCCTCACCTGAGATCTCTTTCTGAAAACCACGAGGAGGTACGGGGAGGCTGAGGTCATTCTGGACCTGCGTTGGTTCTGGGAGCAGCTCGGTTGGGGGTTCTACAACAACATATACGGGGTGTAACAGCACGTGGACTCATACTCAGATTCTTCTGTACGTAATGTTCGAGTTCCCACACAGAAGTGAAATTTCGTTGCACTCTAGCCACCGACACGTGGCTGTGTCCACATTCAGGAGCTGAATCCTTTGAAGGACCCGACCTACGCTCCACGTCAGTACTGCACAGCAGGCCAGGAAGACTTTTAGTGAACGGCTGTGACTGGACGGTCTTCAGATTCATTTCCTCTCTTACATCGACGCAACTCCTGTTGCCTAGCAACCATGACGGCGCTAAACACTGGTTACTACTCTTAGCAGCAGTACGGGACGCACCATACGAGCTGCCCCGTCCCTAGCAACAGTGTGTTTTCTGCAGCTGGAGACATTATTTTAGCTCCCAATGGCTCAAGAAAATGATATAATCTTTTACAGGGTGAACGAAGTCGCTCAGCCCCCTCCGCCCTTTGTGAGCACCCCTTCAGCCTCTCCGGACCTCTCTGAAGTCTCACAAAGTCACACTTTATGATGTTTACACCTCAGGACTAACGCGCTACACCTGAGTAGCATTTATTGTAACGTGTTTATCGTGGAGCCTCAGATGAAGCTAAAGAAACAAGAAGAACGTTCGACAACAGGAGTCTAATTAGAGTCAACCTGGGGAGATTTCTGACTGGTGAAAGCCCAGAGACGTGATTCCTGCATGCTTTAGATCGTGAACACAGCTGATTTGATTGATTCAGTGACGAACCTCTCCTGTTGAAACTAGTGAAGGCTGAGAAGACTTTTGAGCAGATAAAGGTGTTAAAAACACGAGGAGGAGAGTTTCAGGTTTGTTTCTACCACAGTGATTTAAAATGGACACCAGGGGGTGCTAAAAGTAAGCCAAAAGTGTGAAGTTCTCCTTTTAAGGTTGACTATGGAACACAGACAGTCTGGAAACTCTGGTGTTCAGAGGTGGTATCGCAACAGCTTAACTAGTTTCCCAGCCGTTGGGATGCTGGTTGACTTCTGACACGTTCCAGCACCACGTTCAGGATAAGGACTCATCTCTACTAATAGGTTTATTTTACAACAGTATTTACCGTTAGAACATCTTCTGGCCTCAGACTCAGTTGCTTGACTTGTCAAGTCTGCCATTTTACACAGTAGAAGAAGACGATCTTTTATATAGCGCCTCTCAAGCAAAAAATCACGAGGCACTTCACAAAAACAAACAAACAAAAAAAAAAGAACATATATGTTAAAAATATGTTTAAAGGGAGAAAAGAAAAATAATGTAAGGAAAGGAAGAGAGAAAATAAATAGGAAAGAAGAAAATCAGTTTATGCCGGGAAAGGCGGGATGAGAACAGAAAAGTAGAGGGAGGTGATGAAGGTCACACAAAGCCTGAACAGGTGAGTTTAAAGGAGACCACTGAGTCCACTGATCTCAGGCTCAGGGGGAGAGAGCTCCAGAGTCTGGGGGCCACAGCAGCAGATGATCTGTCACCTTTGGTCTTTAGCCTGGTGCTGCACAACCAGTAGGCTTTGGTCACTGGACCTCAGGGACCTGCTGGGGGTGTAGGGACTAAGAAGATCACCAATGTAAGATGGTGCTTGTCCATGTAAGGCCCTATAGACCAGAACCAGGATCTTGAAATGAACCCTGAAGTTGACTGGCAGCCAGTGAAGCTGGAGGAGAAGCGGGGTGATGTGGGTGTGTTTGGAGGACTTGGTCAGAAGCCGAGCACAGACGGTTCAGGGAGGTTCTGCTCACAGTCAGACAGTCTGGTCTCCTTTAAGAAGCCGCTGAAGACTCACCTGTTCAGGCTTTGTGTGACCTTCATCACCACTCTCTCCTTTTTCTGCTCTTATCCCGCCTTTCCCGGGATCCACTGATTTCCCCCTGTCCTATTCTTCATCATTCATCATCATCCTTTATTTCTATAGCACCTTCCAACACCTTTGTACTAGCCCAAGGGCCTGTATACTTTCACAATAAAAAAAAATGAAGCAAACGCAAAGAATATAAAAAATTTACACTCAAGACAATAAAAAATTCTAATAAGTCATAATAAAAGTGAACTTAAATACAAATTCTAAACAATAAAAGAATAAAATCACAATTAAACCAAGTCTGACTTGTGACTCAATGGGTAAAGGCCAATTGTAAAAGTGTGTCTTTAAACCAGACTTAAGACCAGAGGGATGGTGCCTGCCTCATTCATTTTCTCTCCCTTTTAATCACTTTTGTTCTCACTTTAAACATATTTTCAACATTTTTGGCTTCTTTTTCATATTTGAATTTTCGGTTTTTGTGAACCGCCTCGTGACTTTTATCTTGAGAGGCGCTATAGAAAAGATCATTGTCTTTATTTCTTTCTTAAGCTTGGTTTATGCTTGACGCATTCACTTTCCGCGCGGTGATGCGGCTCGCGGATGGAACGCGCTTCACAACTCGCAGCGTTTATGGATCATGCGGCTTGTCTCTGCGGTGAGCCAATATTCTCCCAAACTGCAGGGGGCAGCATGGAGCTCTACAGCATGCATCCAACACTACACCATAGTAGAAGTAGAAATTACTGTTTACAACATGGTATTTCAGCATTTTTTAACAGCGTTCTCGTCTTTTCCGACAGTGCGAGCTATTTCTCTCCAAGAATTATTAACAACATGTTGATCACGGTGATCTCTGAGAGCTGAATCATACAAATGTCTGTATTTACGAACCTCTGCCGTGCCGGTCCGCCATGTTTTTCCGCGTCCGACCGTCCGCGTGGTTAGAAATTTTCCGAGGTGCGCGTTGCGGAAATCTTGGGCCGTGCGGAGACGCGGTGGAGGGGAGTGGTTGTTAAAATGACGCAAAATGACGCAAATTTTCCGCGCGGAGCCGTGCGGACCTCGCGGACGCGTCAAGCATAAACCAACCTTAATGTCAGTTTCCTTAAAAGTAAACACTCTGATGCTAAAATATAGTTGAATTTTATTATTTTATTGCATGCATTCTCATTTTATCTACAAAAATTTGTCTTGTGAATTCACTGCAAGCAAAGTTTTATTTGAAATGCCTTTAAAGGTTTGCCCGTTAACTTTCTGCCCTCACTGTACCCAAAATGATCCGAAATCCAAGATACATACCAAATCAGACACTTTATACACACACACACACACGTGCACACACACACACACACACACACACACACACACACACACACACACACACACACACACACACACACACTTATGATTTGTTTGAGGCGAGTGAAGAAAAGCTGGTCGTAACTGAATTAGGACAGCTGTCGTGTGTATAACTCTTGCCAGATTTAAAATAATACTTTAGTTATGAAGATCTGCTGTTTGAGAAAATCATTATTATGTCCATGTGGCCAAGTTCTGTGTGATTTAGCTTGTTAATCATTTCTTTTATTCCTTTATTGTACGAATTAAAATAAGGCAACCATCAGCGAAAACTCCATTTTATGCTGCTCTCAGATAAATTAAGCACAAAATACTACAAAAATAACCATTAAAGGCATTTGAAATTGAAATAAGAACAGTTCCCAATCACGAGGTCAGTTTTAATGCTGCTCAGGCTCGCACACACTTTCCTTCATTTGCAATTTGCAAGCCTTTGCATAAAAGGTTCATTCATTACTAAGTGCATTAAAAGAAAGTTTAATTTTCATTTTAATAATGAATTCTACAAAAACTAATAAGCCATGCCTATCAGTTACATAACTATTCATTTAAATGTTTCTGCTTCGGTTTGAGGCCTCACAAAGAACATGCCTTCTTTTAGATTATGAGAGGGGGGGGGGGGGGGTGTTCCAGTGAAAAAGCCACATCTCAGTCTAATCTTAACCACATTAGAAAGGAGATCCATCCTAATCTTATCACTAAACGCTGCTGAGCATAATCTCTAATATTCTTCCCTCTGTCAGGTGAAAGAGTTCCTCTAATCCACGTCGTATCACGTGAAAACAATGTGAAGATACCAGACAGGAAAGAAAGGAGAGGTGTCAAACAGCCACAACATGCACAGGATTTAGCATCGGGAGATAAGGGGGGGCGGGAGTCGGTGTTACCTTCAGCGGGGGTGTGGAGGAGGCGGGGGGAAGAAATCGATCATTCACACCGAAGTACTGCTTCAGCTCATCCCAGCGCTCGTCTGGGTCATCGTGGTGCTCTCTGACGACAATAACCAGATAACGGTGTTAAAACTACTTACAGCTGACTTTTACGCTAAATTAAATCTATTTCAACAGTAAAACAAATTTTTTGTCATCAGGATGTCACCGTGAGTGACAGGTTTAGATTTGATGCTCAACAATTATGCTTAACATTCCTTTTGTGCAAATTTTATAATTAATGATCTTTTTTTTGTAGACAGCTTCTTGAATAGCCTCAGTTTGGAGAAGTGGTTAATTTCCTATAAAGCCATTTTTACGAGCCACACAGTGCCGGCAAATCAGCGTATTATTACCGCAACGGTGTGTGTGATAAACACTCCATGCCGGCATGGCGATGTGCAAATTTTGCGACATTTGTTTGGTAGTAATAATGCTGTAATTACCTTATAAATGGCAATTACGCCTTGGTGCAACAGGGGGAGATGTCATGATCAGATGGGGAGTTGCTGCCAAGCTCCTGCAGCAACTTTATTGAAAATGAAAGTGAAAATGGGTCGTATGTTTCAGTTTTAGAAACGGAATCAGCTGAGATGATAATCTGGAGCAATGCAGCGCTCCAGGAGCTTTTCTCCGTCAGAGCTGGATGTCAGATCACCAGAGATTGCACAGGTACTGTGGAGGACAGACACCTTTAGGAGCGGCTTGTAAATAAAAACTTTTGAGCGTGGCTTCGATCTCAATAAAAAGCAAATTATGTCCAAGAGAAACACAAGTTCACGGCAGTGCAGAGACCGCCCCCCTACCTCTTCATACCGCCATCGCAAAGGACAAGACTGCACAACATTACTGCCGCAGTCTGACCACTTATTTATGGTAAATGGCCTGTATTTGATATAGTGCCTTCTAGAGTCCTGGAACCCCCCAAGGCGCTTTACAACACAACCAGTCATTCACCCATTCACGCACACATTCACACACTGGTGGGGATGAGCTACGATGTAGCCACAGCTGCCCTGGGGTGCACTGACAGAGGCGAGGCTGTTGAGCACTGGCGCCACCGGTCCCTCCGACCACCACCAGCAGGCAATGTGGGTTAAGTGTCTTGCCCAAGGACACAACGACAGCGACAGACTGAGCGGGGCTCGAACCTGCAACCTTCCGATTACGGGGCGAGCACTTAGCTCCTATGCCACCATCGCCCGCACCCCTATGACCTAAGCCTCCCTCATGTCGCTTCAGCATTGCGGCAAATTGACGGCATTGTTTAGTGAAAACAGCTTAAGACTGATAGGCTAATGGCTAGTCTAGGATCAGCCCGGTGTTACTGCTCTTTTAAAACATATTCAATGCCAAAAAATTTCACAACTTGTGCAACGTTATTTTATGGCCAAATTCACTTATTAACATCTAAAATTTCACGCTACACATTTATTTTTACATGCAACCGTGTGGTTATTTATGACATCACCAGCACCACTTGATGCACCCAGGTTTGGCAGGAATATTTAAAGTTCAGAGAGGGTAAGGACAAAGATTATAACACAAACACAATAGTGAGCTTGTGGTTGTATATCATCCTAATAGTTATTTGGGACAGCCACAATCTTTTATTTATTTATTTATTTTGTGTAAGTAGCAACAGAAATGTGTCATCCCGATGCTTCTGATGTGATTAAATGACAACACCACTTGGCTTCATATACAAAAGTCATGAATATTAATATAGAAATATTTATTAACATTAGTTTATTTGTGAGACCTAAAAATGTTGTTTTGGTTTTGATTTACTGACACGACACTAGTCTTTTCAAAGAACAACATGCTAAATGTGGTCATTTTGTAAAGAAAGGTGTTTGATTTCCTCATAATGGTTACTAAATAAACTCTTTTACTAATAAACATGCAGAAGTGGCTCTCTAACTTTCATCCATCATTTCGGTAATGGGAACAACTAAAAACTGTTTTTAAAACAAAGTTTTACTTTAAAACTAACAGATTTTTTTCAGCTTCCTCTCTAATGTTGCTCTTTATTTACGGGGCTTTCTGACATACCAGAAACATTTTTTTCAACACATTTGAGGTAAACGGCAGACCTTTTAGAACTGACTGAATACCAAAACCTCAAAGGTTTATGTTGGGTCAGCTTAAGCACATTGTTCTTACATCGAGGAAAAAACACTGAAATATAAACCCAACACGGATAAAAATGCTAATAAAGTTTAGGTGATCTGAGGAAAATTCACTCATAAATAACGTGATGTTTATATAACATAAAGACAGAGCCCGATGCTTTGTTTATTTCATGGTGTGTTACTTGTTTTGCTTTAGTTCTTATTTGATCGTTTTTGTTTTGCCTAAACGAAGACAACAAAACTAAATAATTTTAAGGCTACCTAAGCTGTATTTAACACACAAACATGCAGGGAAACGTTGTTTTATCTAGATATCAGAAGATAGAAATAATTTCTGAATAAAAAGGTTTTTTTTTTTTTTGCAGAAGCAATGGTGGAAATGGCTTTCAGCCATGGTGGTTGCACGCAGACCCATGTGCTATTTGTAAGGTTTATATTGAGATATTTGCTATTATAACTCATTTCCTTACTTGCATGGGTCATTTAGTTGCTTATATATAAAAACAACGATAAGAACTTCTGTACCCAGTGTCTGCAGGTTCCTCGCACTTTCTGCCTGCGAATTCAATAAAACACAAATCAAGTTCAGTTAAAAACCTGCTATAAAGAATCTTTCAAGAGACAATAAAGATGATCTCACTGCTGTTACCTCTCTTTCGTCGTCTTCTCCTTTTCTGGGGGACTTCCATAGCCTTAATTTCATCTTTCTTTTTACGGAGCTCCTGGAATTTCTTTAGCACAAACATTTAATGATGAATAACAGAATATTTAAGCTATTTCTGCTCTTGGCTGTTATGTTTTCTTCTACTGCTAATAAACAGAATGGATGCTAGCTAGCTGGCTAGCTCATTACCTGCCACGCTCCCTGAGATACGCCTGGCATTTTGCATGTCGGAGAGTCATCGTCAGCGCCAAAGTGAGGCGAGCGTGCGTCCACCACAGGCATTGTATTTGTTGAATGTTCACCAAACTCTTTTTCTTCATCGTCTCCCTTGACAACACCATCTTCTAGCTCGGCGTCTGAACTCAGATCGTCTTCGGTTAAATCTTTCGGCAGAAGCCCACTGTACATCCTGAGTCAATTGTGTGCACAGATATAATTTATTGTTTACTTAGGTAAAAGTTCCATATATATATACGAAACTACGAGAAATAAACAAGTTAAATGGTCGTTCGGGGTTTTCATTTCCGGGTAAACACGGTGACGTTTATTGTTGTAAAGCGCTCATTGGCTCATCATTAGCGGAGGTGTCGGTGTCGTCCAATCAGAGTTGTATCAGAACTAGCTAAAACTAGCTCAAACAAAAGCTGTCGTCCGCCGATTTCGAAGTTTTGCTGCTTTTCTTTGTTTTGTTGAGCTGAAAGCGAGTTGCAACTTGTCCTTACACCCTGCTAATCACCATGGTAACCGTGTCCCTGAACTCAACATCTGCGAAGCAGCAGGTGATGGTGAGTTCAAGTACTGGTTTGAATGTTTGTAAAAAAGCACAACCTGCTCACTTTTTATTTATAAATCTCAGGCAGAAAATCTGGCTAAAACAGCGTTTATAGATCGTTTTATGTCACTTTTTCCCAGTAATGTAAATTTTAAAAAATCTGCTCCCATCTTAAAACACATACATCAAGTGTTTGCATCTGAAACCGTCTTAACAGATAAAGTCAGTAAATTATTTTTAGAAAGTTTATGAAATACAGCGATGGAAGTTCGAAAAACACATTACTTCCACCTCAACTTAATAATTTTATTTATTTGTAATTTTTGTTACTTCAAATTAGATTATCATCAAGTTTGACCAACACAATGATTATGTAGAAATGTTTCATATTAAATATAGAAAAAAGTATATAGTAAAACAACAACAACAATAATAATAATAATAATAATAATAATAATAATAATAATAATAATGAGAAAATGAATAAGTAGATAAAAAGATTAGGGTTGCCATTTATGATTATTATAAAGTATTGATCTAAAATGAGCTTGTATGTTTTTATATTTTTCTATAATTGATAGGAAATCCATAACTTTTGTATTTTGATAACGAAACATTTTCGATGTAGAGCCCAGCCCGAGTCTGCACACAACAGAATATGTAATAAATACAACATTCAACTGAAATATCTCAGTAAAGAAACAGTGGAACAAATTGTAACGAGTCTCTATGAAGCTTTCTGTCTCAACAATCGACATATATTTAGGTCTCAACCTAAACACCCGATTTACATTTTTATCAACCTTCATCTCATGTTTTAGTTGAAGTAATTTAGCACGACTTGAGACAAGTGGAAGTTGATTTTGTCCTCCTGTACAACAGGAAGTAACACCAGAAGTGTCCTGACAGCACACCTGAAGTAAACTGGGTTAGAGAAGAAAGCCTGGTTTTGTTGAACCCACTCCCTCACAGCTTCCCACTGGTCTTTAGTAAAAATGAGCTCAGAACAAACACCTCAAAGTCCTTGAATGGCATCCACGTTAAAAATTTGATCCTGAATTGTGAAAAGTGGATAGAAAACTGTTGTGGAGCGTTTCTAATTGAGGTGAGCCATGGCTACCGGTCCGTGAATTACTAGGAATCATTCAAATGTTAACCTATATTTGTGTCATGTTCTGGCTGAGATAAGCCTCCCTTCTATGACCAGTGGTTTGCAATTTACTTAAAGTGCTTTGGGCATAACATTATTATTAGAATAATTAGCATGCAAATCTTGTATAGCCCCTGGCACTGGCACAGGCATCTACTCTTAAATTGCTCTTTCACAGACATTCACATTAGGCCCCTTTTGGTTGCATCTTATTGCAAGGCCCATAATATACATAAATTATAGCCTGTATTGTGTGTGTCATATAAATGCATTATAAGGCGTAAGACCCACAGCAGCCATGTGTAGGATGAGAGGTCGACTGCTGGACTGGACTGTTCGTTTAGCGCTCTGGACTTTTTATCTAACTAGTCAAAGTTTACTGATGAGAAGTCCTAAAATGATGCAGCATCCTGATTCAGTTCTAAAAAGTTAAAAGAAAACAACAATGAAGTTATTAGCATTTATTTTTACTATCAAATCTAAATACAAAATGCAAATGAGATATATTTTCTTATTTGTTTATCTTGATTTATTTGACTAAATCTGTTATATTTTGTGTTTTTAGGTTTTAGGGGACAAAACTGTAATTTTTGAGGACTTGTTATGTGCATTTTTTCCATAAATTGGGGATTTTGTCCTTTTGACAGCCCAGACCTTGTCCCTTATATATATTTATATATATATATATATATATATATACATACACATATATATACACACACACACACATATATATATATATATATATATATATATATATATATATATATATATATATATATATATATATATATATATGTATATATATATAAATATATATATGTGTGTATATATATATATGTGTGTGTGTGTGTATATATATTACACACACACACACACACACACACATATATATATACATATATATATATATATATATATATATATATATATATATGTGTGTGTGTGTGTCTATATATACACACATATACACACACACACACACACACACACACACACACACACATATATATATATATATATATATATATATATATATATATATATATATATATATATATGAATGTTTGGTTAAAGAAAGTATAATAATCCAAACCCCAAACATAACTTTTAACATAAAAATATGATAATATTATTATTACTAAACTTTTGTACCCATTATTGTTCAAATAAATATTCCTGTTGTTTTTATTTAATTGTCACGAACGTTTAAAACATAAAAGACTCTCCTTATCAGTTCATTTCAGTTTATTTCTATACAACAAGAGTCGTCTCAAGGCTCTTCACAAAGTACACATTCCCGTAAAGTTGAGTGTTTTTAGTTCGTTACATATATTTATACATATTAAAAACATTTTTGACACATAAAACTTGTTTTCTGGCCCTAAAGTCTAAGAAACAGAAATGCCCTGTTCTCTTATGTGAAGGCGCTGCAAAATGAAGTAGGTCTCTAAGACTGGTGCTATGTTGAACGTCATCTGAAACGAGTAAAACATTCTCCGAAACACGCAGCCATTAACTAGCGTCTCTTACTCGTCGTTGTTGTGACTTTAATTACATTTTCTGCCGTGTTTAGCGGCGTATCGCTGGCTGAAGGTAAACGAGAGCCACAAAGTCCTATTAATACTAAATAATTCTGGCTTTGCAGGCCTAAATCGTTTTCTTATTGATTACCAGGCTTTGTGTTCTATTTCACACTTGGATTAATGTCCCTCAGCATCCTCCCCGTCCATGTCTCTCCCTGTGTCCCGCACCCCTGCCCCTCCTCCTCTCCAGACACGTGCTCCAGTTCATTATTTCTGTCATTTCTTGGTAATTTGGAGTTTGCTTTTTTAAAACTTAGAGCCTCTTATTAAGTTTTGGGCATGGCGGATAAGAGGCAGGACTGTAAGAGCACAGAGATAAACTAATCATCCTAAAACCCTAATTATTAGTATCTTACTGTGACAGACTGTTTCTGCGAGCCAGCTAAATTGAGCCTCAAATGAGGAAAGGCAAATCTGTGGAAGTGATAATAATTTTAAGTCATCTCGATCTCGCTTGGTGTGGCAGAATTCATTAGTGGAGATTAGCACTGTGTGTACAAAGTAAATGAGATATCTAATAGCAAACGCGGAGGTCTGGGGACTCCTAATTTCCTCTCCAGCATGAGGGATGATGTTAAGAGGTGATTATATATATTTTAACATTGTGGCTTTGGTTATGTAGATTTGCGTGGCTCCTTTACACTAAACAACGCCTCTAAACTGCTCGTGTCTCACCTTCCTCTGAGTTTCTGCAGAGAGGTGACAAAAATTAACCCCCAAATCAGATTAAACCGTGTTACTCCGACGCAAAGCCAAGTTTTTTATTATTATTATTATTGTGAGGATACGAGGTAAGTTAATTATGTGTTTAAGGAGGAAAAAATAAGATTACAAAGAATAATTTGCTGATATAATTACAGCAAAATTGGGTACACACAATCGTAAAATACATGTATTGCTTGACCTGGGTTAGCCAGTGAAATAAATCCTCCTTCTATAGCCTTTGTTAATTTGTTTTTATCATCTCCAAGTGGTGTTTGTGCAGGTAGTTCAATTTGCATGTGTAATTCCACTGTGCAAATTGACAACAAGTAGATAATTCGAGGGAATAGGCTGGTTGGAGGCCCCTGCTATCTTCTCAAGCCCATTCATTTTGAGGAACCGCTGAGGCATGAAACTCATACATCAACTATTTCCTGACAATGCTCTGGCTTATTGTCCCCTAAAATGTCATTACAGCCATTATTTATGAAGCTAATTCATTTATTAAACCATATTTACTCTGACAGAATTTGTTTCATTTTATCCGGAGTCTGAGCGCTGCTTTTTGAACGCCGTCCCGCCGCGTGTGAACACGCGCTGCTCGCAAAGTTCTGAACTAGCGTTTGCCAGAATGGTTGCAGAAATTCACAATGCTGTGAAAAAGTATTTGACCTGTTCAGATTCCTTCTGTTCAGACAAAGAATGTCAGACAAAAATAACCTGAGTGAGTGAAACATGCTCTTTTCAAGGGATTTTTCTAAATTTCTGGAACAAAACTATCCAAGCATACAGGGGCAGATTTAGGACTGAAGAAGATCCGGGGCTTAACGCACGCACGCGCGCACAGACACGTGACACGCACTAGTCAACATCATACATGTCTTGTACCACATAATTTTTAATCTGAAGCTACATATTAAGCGTATTCAGGGCAGAGTATTGTTCCTGTTAGTGTTTAGTGTGAGTTGATGGTAAATATTCCCTTTCTTTCTTCAACAACTTTACCTGATAGTAAGCTAACTTTAGGCAAACCAGCAGCACAACAAATATTTTCAAATAAGACTCACAAACCTGAGTCAGCACCAGTCTCATCAAAGCTGGGGTTCTGTCGTTGTACTTTTTGTCTAAAAAACGTCCTTATGTCCATCTTCACTCATGCGTTTCAGACAGAGAGTGTAGAAGAAGCCGGCTGCTGAAGGGCTTCTTCTTCAGTGGTGGAGGCTCAGGCAGGCTGTATACAAACTACTGCCAGCTGCGCCCTCTCTGTTGGACTTTGGTACTGCATGTTACTTCCACGATTTAGATCCAGGGCTTTTCATGAAACATCCGGGGCTTCAGCCCAAGTAGCCGGGCCTAACGCCGCCCCTGCAAGCAAACCTGGACCTGTGTGTAAAAGTTATTTCCCCCATTGTCAAATGATTAATTAGCTGTAATTAAACGCATTATTTAGAAATCTGAGTTCAGTTCCACCTGCCAAACCCAGACCTGTAGATTATTAATCTCTACAGCAGAACCTGTCTGACAACATGAAGTAGGCTAAACGATCTCAAAAAGCAACAAAGAATGCATCATGAATTCTGGGTAAATATGCTGTGGCATGACAACAGAAAAGCAGAACTTTCTGGAAGGTGTGTGTTCCATTCAATCTGGAGTCAAACAAACACTGAAACATCACCATAGCAACAGTCAGACATGGTGGTGACAGTGTGATGGTCTGGGGCTGCTCTGCTGCTTCAGGACAACTGATGGAACCATGAATTGTGCTCTCTAGCAGAACATCCTGAATTCAATTCAATTCAAGTTTATTTATATAGCACCAAATCACGACAAGAGTCGTCTCACGGCCCTTCACATAGTAAACATCCACTACAG